ACTCACTCACACACTCACTGTCTCTCTCTCTCACTCACTCACACACTCACTGTCACTCACTCACTCACTCACTCACTCACTCACTCTCACTGTCTCTCACTCACTCTCACTGTCACTCACTCACTCACTCTCACTGTCTCTCACTCACACACTCACTCTCACTGTCTCTCTCACACACACTCACTCACTCACACACTCACTCACACACTCACTCACTGTCTCTCTCACTCACTCACTCTCCCTGTCTCTCACTCACTCACTCACTCACTCACACACACTCACTCACTCACACACACTCACTCACTCACACACTCACTGTCTCTAACTCACTCACTCACTCACACACTCACTGTCACTTTCTCACTCACTCACACACTCGCTGTCTCTCTCTCACTCACTCACACACTCACTGTCACTCACTCACTCACACACTCACTGTCACTCACTCACTCACTGTCTCTCTCTCACTCACTCACTCACTCACTCACTCACTCACACACACTCACTCACTCACACACTCACTGTCACTCACTCACTCACTCACTCACACACTCACTCACACACTCACTCACACACTCACTGTCAGTCACTCACTCACTCACTCACTCACACACTCACTCTCACTGTCTCTCACTCACTCACTCTCACTGTCACTCACTCACTCACTCTCACTGTCTCTCACTCACACACTCACTCTCACTGTCTCTCTCACACACACTCACTCACTCACACACTCACTCTCACACTCACTCACTCACTCACTCACTCACACACTCACTCTCACTGTCTCTCACACACTCACTCTCACACTCACTGTCACTCACTCACTCACTCACTCACTGTCTGTCTCTCACTCACTCACTCACTCACTCACTCACTCACTCTCACTGTCTCTCACACACTCACTCACTCACTCACTCACTCACTCACTCACTCACTCACTCTCACTGTCTCTCACTCACTCACTCACTCACTCACTCACTCACACACTCACTCTCACTGTCTCTCACTCACACACTCACTCTCACTGTCTCTCACTCACTCACTCACTCACTCTCACTGTCTCACTCACTCACTCACTCTCACTGTCTCACTCACACACTCACTCTCACTGTCTCACTCACTCACTCACTCTCACTGTCTCATTCACACACTCACTCTCACTGTCTCACTCACACACTCACTCTCACTGTCTCTCACTCACTCACTCACACTCACTCACACACTCGCTGTCTCTCTCTCACTCACTCACACACTCACTGTCACTTTCTCACTCACTCACACACTCGCTGTCTCTCTCTCACTCACTGTCACTTTCTCACTCACTCACACACTCACTGTCACTCACTCACTCACTCACTGTCACTCACTCACTCACTGTCTCTCTCTCTCACTCTCACTGTCTCTCACTCACTCACTCACTCACTCACTCACTCACTCACTCACTCACTCACACACACTCACTCACTCACACACTCACTGTCACTCACTCACTCACTCACACACTCACTGTCTCTCTCACTCACTCACACACTCACTGTCACTCACTCACTCACTCACACACTCACTCTCACTGTCTCTCACTCACTCACTCTCACTGTCACTCACACACTCACTCTCACTGTCTCTCACACACACACTCACTCACTCACACACTCACTCTCTCACTCACTCACTCACTCACTCACTCACTCACACACTCACTCTCACTGTCTCTCACACACTCACTCTCACACTCACTGTCACTCACTCACTCACTCACTCTCACTGTCTCACTCACTCACTCACTCACTCACTCTCACTGTCTCACTCACTCACTCACTCACTCTCACTGTCTCACTCACTCACTCTCACTGTCTCACTCACTGTCACTCACTCACTCACTCTCACTGTCTCACTCACTCACTCTCACTGTCTCACTCACTCACTCACTCTCACTGTCTCACTCACTCACTCACTCTCACTGTCTCTCACTCACTCACTCTCACTGTCTCTCACTCACACACTCACTCACTCACACACTCACTCTCACTGTCTCTCACACACTCACTCTCACACACACTCACTCACTCACACACTCACTCTCACACTCACTCACTCACACACTCACTCTCACTGTCTCTCACACACTCACTCTCACACTCACTGTCTCTCACTCACTCACTCACTCTCACTGTCTCTCACTCACTCACTCTCACTGTCTCTCACTCACTCACTCACTCTCACTGTCTCTCACTCACTCACTCTCACTGTCTCTCACTCACACACTCACTCACTCACACACTCACTCTCACTGTCTCTCACACACTCACTCTCACACACACTCACTCACTCACACACTCACTCTCACACTCACTCACTCACACACTCACTCTCACTGTCTCTCACACACTCACTCTCACACTCACTGTCTCTCACTCACTCACTCACTCTCACTGTCTCTCACTCACTCACTCTCACTGTCTCTCACTCACACACTCACTCTCACTGTCTCACTCAC